TATCATAATAATTAGGGTTTATTATTTGATGCCCTAAAAAATCTCCAACAGTATGCGTTTACACATTTTATTCTACATTACTATTATATTAAATACATTTCAAAAGTTATTAGTACTTATTACAATATTATAATTTACGTATAATAATAAACGGCTTGTAGGTGCCAAGGTACCTAATGATAAAATAATCTTATAGGTAGTAATAATAATAAATAGAAATAGGTACTTCAACTTTCAAGTCTTCAACTTGAATTAGAATGTTTATAATAATTATTTTCAGAGGTAAACTAAACTAAAAATTGACGTCCCTTGTTTTTTTGATGCAGTCATTGAACAATATCTCCCAAAACAAATTCTTGTGCGTTAATTTCAGACTTGATGGATAACAATTCTAACTTTTTATTACTGATGGTTATTCTGAGGTGGTTTTTAATGGATAATATTGAATTGATTCCCGCAAATACTTTTAGATTGTCGGAGTTGAGTCCGATCAATATTGTTAGGTTATATTAAGTTGTTAGGTTGTTCGAGTTGAGTCGCTTCAGACTATTAGCGTTACACCAGGACTCAACACGGGGAGGGTGGCTGAGTAATCTCCCAAAAAAAAGTGTGTGATTTTTTACACTATTTATTTTTAAATTGTAATAAATAGTATAAAGAGTCAATTAATTAAAAATAGTAATAATTATGCGTAATATAATTATGTGCAAGGTTCAAGGTCACCACCGGCTTTTATCGTTTTATCTATACGGACTCAATTCAAAGATATTAAGATAATAGGCTGGACTCAATTCAATCCAAACACATAAAAGTAGCATGAACTCAATTCATATCACCGTTTTTAATGGTAAGTTTTAACAAGAAAAAACTTTTTTTTACCCAACAAATAAAATTGTATTAACAATTATAGAAAAAAAAAATTGAAAAATGGAACACTGAAAATGTCCGTAAACATCTCAAAATGAACCAAAATATTTTAAAAACTCTATGGTACATAGAAAATGAAAATATAAACATTCAGTGAAATTTTCATGTATCTATATAGGTAGTTATTCATTTTTGAATTACAACAAAATAAAAAAAAAGCTACATGAGAAATCGAGTGAATATCAAATGTTGTAAAAATATAAGCTTCAAATGCTCGTAAAAATGTAATTTGATTTTCTTGTAGATATATTTTATTTTTTTTGATAAAGGTAGACAAATTTATAGCTTATAAGGAATCTTGTATTAAATTTTTAAATCTTGGATTTATGATTTATGTTTTAGATGAATTCTTACTCAAAATAGTTTGCTAATTTTCTTGATTTTTCTGGGTAAACGTTATATTACATTTTCAAGTTATGTGACTGAGCAAATAATTTTTTATGGACAATAATTTAAAAAAACTTATAAAACTCAAATTTTTCTTGTCTTTAAATAGCTCAAAAAGTATCTAGTAGAAACTGCCAATAGGAATATTTAGAGAACATTTTATGTATCTAGGGTTATTTTTTTTAGAGTGTCACTAAAAAACAAAATCAATTTTTTCGAAAACTGATTTTGCGTAAACATCTCAGTTTTTACTTCATTTTTTGTTTTTCCTGAAGCTTTTTAAAACTATGGGAAATTTTGCTTGGACCCCCCCCCTTCCTCCCGAAATACCAATTATATTCACTTTTGTACCAGAAAAGATGGTGTTCAGGAATCGAGACATATTTTTCCCGAAAGGTGATGACAGAAACAAAAAAAAAAAAAAATTTTATAAAATAAATATACATTAATCAAAATGTAAAATAATTAAATTTCATTGTTTCCTCCAATTATATATTTATATAAATAAATAAAGTTTGTAAATTAGTGAAAATAGGAGTTGTTCACAATACATTTCATTGTAGTTAATATACATAATATTTGGTATAATAATAATAATATATAAGTATAATATATCTTATTGAGTGAGGTACTTAACAATATATATATATTTTTATTGGATTAAGGCTTCGACAACTGACGTCATTAGCCTGCAAGGTTGAAGGGGTTGGTATACGGTAAGGTTGGAACTGGTTATATGGTTGAAAACACGTGTATGTGTGGCAAGGTTTTTGCGCACTACGAACCCGGGTGGTCACCCATCCTAGCACTTCATTAGTCTCTGTCATGTTGTGAGATCAATAACATCCAACACGCCGTTCCAAGACACTACAATATTTTATATTATTGTCTAACGCTTAAAAAATAATTTGTAATTGGGGTGGTTGTAGCGTTTCTATATAGGCATTGTTCTTTGTTCAAAAAAGTTATAGTTGAGTAGGTATAATATATTAATATGCGTATGATATTATAATACTTCATTATTGTTTTGCTAGTCTTGTAAATTTTTATTTTTTTTATATGGAAAAAAATTAAAAGATTATATATAAGTACAACGGAAAAAAGTAATAATTTTATTCTTTTTTTAAGAGAGCAGGGATGAAGTTTAAGAATATCTGAATATCGAAGAGGACCAAGCATAGGTGAAAGTAGTGTTTGAAATTTGGGGGGACAGGTTATACTTGAATACTTGATACTCTTATGATGCTTTCAAATTATAGTGGTGAAATCATTATTTTTTTTTTTTTGGTGGGGAAGCTATAGAAATTCTAGGGTGGGCTAAGCTCCCCAGCCCTCCCCCTATTTGTGCCTATACGACCAAGTATGTATCTGGTGTTCCGGGGTTCAATGGTCCTTAATAAATTCGGACTTGGCAAGGGGAGTCATTTGGGGGGGGGGGGGGGGGTGCAGAGTGTACATTTGCACCAAATTTTGTAAAAATGCCTTCTTTGGCCTGCCAACAATGAATATGAGCTCCGATGTACCTAAGTGTTTTATATTATATATATTTAATATTTTTTCAGTATTAAAAAAAAAAAATGTATTGTACTAATGTTTAATTTCCAAGAATGTTTGATGTGATTTTGTGGTCCCACAATATTATAATTGATAAAATTATTACACAAATATTGTGATGAAGGATCCCAATAAAATAAATCAGGTATATTATATATTTTAAGTATGCAGGGAGAAAAAATGTGTAGATTAGGTTCGGTTAGGTATTTTATAATAAAGGTGATATTTTATACCCATACATTTATTTACCAAGTGTGTACACTGGTATCCATAATATAAAATAAATACACTAAAAGTACCTACACATAGTTCGTCAAAAATAGTAACAATATTGTGGTATTTTCATACTAAATAAATTATACAAGCATTCTACAGTTTTTGTCTAGACCCCCCCCCCCCCCCAAAAAAAAAAAAAAGTTTTCTATGTGGCCTGGTAATGATCTGAATGGCCTGCAAACATTTTGGCACCAACAAAAAAAAAAATTGAAATGACGCCCCTGGACTTGGCCCTAGTCATTCATGTTTGATGTTTCATCATTTCTCAACAGTAATTGTGTAATCTAATCTCACATTCTCAGTACTCGTTAATCTTGAGGATAGCATTTCATTACATTTTCCTACGTCAGATAGGTACTAGGTAGGATCGGTATAACCTATTTAACAATAATATTATTAAATAACCTAATTTATCGACATTGACAGATTAAACGACATCCGTATATTCGTATTTAATAATTATTCGTTTATAAGATAATGTTGTAATTAATTATATCTAATAACTACATTACTACAAGTATCCTAAATGCCTTATGCCTAAATACAATAGATGTACCTTTGTCAAACGTCTATTGTATTTTTTGTCATAAAATAATATTAATATCGCACTGTCAGAATAATATTATATGATAGGGATGGCGGTATTTAAAATGTTGATACCGGTATCCGGTATTTGTTTACTACAGGTATCTACGGTATTACTGGTTATACGGTATTTTTGGTAACTACCGAAAATACCGTTCTCTAGTAGTTACCACGATTTAAGATAGTATTAAGATAGTACTATCTTAAATCGTGGTAGTTACCGAAAATACTGTACCCCGGTAATTAAAGAAAATAACGAGGTGCTGTAATTACCAAAAATACCGTAAGTACATCGGAATACATACCGGATCTCGGTGTTTCCAAGTTTCCAACCTAGGTACATTTTTTGAGGTTATAAGGGTTAGTTTATAATTGATAATTATTGTAACCTCACCTCAAAAAAACCCCTATATAGTGTATCTCTCTCCTATATATCGAACTTTCCCTCTTCCCCAAAAAGACAGCAACCTCTTGCGAAGCCAGTATATATGCGTGTTCTATCCATTTTTATAATCTTAGTCCGTGATATATTATAATATTATACAATATGCGCGCTTCATGTCATAATAAGTAGGTATATATAATGTTTTGAGTCTCTACACATTTTTTTGTATCACTCCCGTTCATATACAGGGTGTCCCGTGAGGATTTACTCATTGCGATATCTCCTGAAATAATGGAGATATCGTAATTATGTTTTTTTATTAAGACTCGCAGAGGTAAGCACTACAAATATTTTATTTTTTAATTAAATTAAATTTTTTAGTAAAAAAGTTAAAAAAGTTATTTTTTTATTTTTTTATTTTTGAAAAAATTGAAGATAGCCATTCTATAGAGTATATTTTTGTGAACATTTTGAGCTTTTAACATTTTATTTTCATTAATCTCATGATTTTTAATAAATTTTTTAGTTTATTAGTAAAACGTCAATAAACTGGTTTTTGTCCGGGCGGCGAGTCCCCCTCTACGGCTAATGAGTAAATCCTCACGGGACACCCTGTATGTGCGGTGATTTTCGAGTTATTTATATTAATATACATTATTGTAACAATATTTAAGCATACATCTAATTCGACAGCTGAAATTAAATCAACGAGTATTTTGTTAGTAGACCAACATAGAAACCGGAAATCAACAATGCATAAAAAACAAAAATCCATTTGGTATTATAATCACTCTACTTAAAGCACTGAACTGTTCAACTGCTTTTAAACAATTTTTCTATAATTTATTATACAATTTATTCGCATAATGTTGTATCGTGCCACTCGATGGAAGCTTTCCAGCCAGGACCTCCGGCCTTCAAACAAGGCATGATTTCACTATCAAGACGTCGGACATTCATAAAACGACTAGTAAAAGTGGACATCCCAGTACCAATAGTAGATCAAAAAGAGGTGGCGTTTTGCTATTTCACTCAAATAGCTTCAATTGATAAACGGGGATACCACCTAAAGCACCAGAAGAGCAATAACTTTTTAGCCTGGTTAGGTATGCGGGCTAATGATTCATCTGTTACCGCCGTAGCGTCTGGAGTCAGTGCCTCGACTGGCGTCAGTGCATCAACTGGAATCAGTGCCTCGACTGGAATCAGTGCCTCGACTGGAGTCAGTGCCTCGACAAAATATACAACTCTAAATAGGTTTTTAGTAGTGAGTTTATGAGTTATGAAAAAGTGTCAAAGGTAAACGAACGGATGAAAATACTGGAGACTACTGGATATTTGGAACTGTGTACGTCTTTGCCTTCGAACAATTTTCAACCGATGACTAAAATGATCCAACTGTGGAAGATTGTGACTCAGAAATTACTCAACCGACTCTCAAAGCTCTTATTAAACAGGTACTTGTGGTGCCCAACAGTTTTACCTTTTACGACTTATTATTGAGACCACCAACAGTATCATAACTTATAAGGTGTCTAATACATACGATATTATGTTAATTTAATTATGAACCGATTAATACATTATGAGTCTATAATTTAACTATTTTACAATTTTAAGAACTAATATTATACAGATAACGTAGAAAAACAGATGTAAAATTAAATTCAATATTATACCTGTATTATTAGGTGGATTCCATTGACCTCATTGTGGCAATGTCAAAAGGTTTGTCATTAGACGATAAACGCAAAATAAATAATCCAAAATAGAACATTTTGTGAGTATTAATACGTCCAAAACTCCAAACAACCATAATATACCAGTATACCACCGAAGCTGTACAAACATTCTATACATACCTATTTTTGTATATAATCTACACAAATTTGAATTCCACGGTTATATTTCAAATATTATGAACACTCCGGCCTTTTGAACACAAATTTACATATTATTATAAATTGTACTGTGATTATAAAATACTTTTTATTATTAATATTGAAATATACCGCTTTCTAATTGTGGTGAATTTTAATTACAATTAATATTGACAATACAATATTTTTGTTGTAATTAGGAGACCTTCCATGCACATAGACCATATGCATGGCCATACGCGAAAAGAATAAAGGTATCAAGGTAAAATTAGAAATTGTGTCAATAATTGTATTGTATTGTTATTAATTTGTTAGAGCGTCTTCAAAACATTTATTTAATTGTTGTATGTTGCCTATATTAATTATAATTTATAATAAATTGTTCAGTTGATTTGTATTCTTTTTTTTGTAATTTCATAAAAACGAAATACGATATTATACGATAATATTAATTGGGTGAAACTATGTTGGTATGTAGGTAATTAATAAACCATTTTTAATTTTCATGTTACGAGGTCCAATATTGTATTTTAAAAATGTACACTCAAGCTTACTCTTTGAATTTTAGTTGAAAAACCAAAAAATGGTAATAAATTACTAGTTAATATATTTATTATAAATAATATTTATTCAGCTCATAAGTTAAATCGAATCAATCACACTATCATAGTATCATTTTAATATCTAGGAACAATAGGTGCAACACTTTTTCACTTAATTTTATAAAATTAGCTTAATTAATTTTTTGACTAGATACAACTTTAATCTTATTTATCTCCATCTAGATAGTTATTCTACCAACTATTTCTTATATGTTATTCCATAAATGTTTTTAAACGTATCTTTATAATATGATATTAGATAACGAAAATTACAATATTATATTAAGTCATTATGAATAATATATAAAAATAATAAATAGTAAGTGTTGGTATAAGCCATATAGTATTTTGGGTAATAACCGGGGTACGGTAATAATGGTAATTACCGAATCACGGTATATCGGTATTCTGAAATACCGAAAATACGGGATACCGGTGGTTTTTAAATGGTACTGGTAATTATTATCGGTATACCGAAAATACCGCCAGCCCTACAGTATATGGCCACAACTCGGCATTTATGATTTTTGTGTTTATGGTTGGTGTCTATGAATTTATAATATTTTCTATTATTTTTGTAGTGGCGCAATCTACCTCCTTATATTTAGAAGCCCTTTAGCCCTGTGCCAATTTTTCAAATTGTCCGCATTCTATCAAATTTGAAAATTAAATTAGAATATTATTAGTTTTTTTTTTTTTATTTTAAAAAGTATATTTACAATCTATAGGTATACAACTGACAAGGTAAAATGAGTACCTATAGGCTATAAGTGTGGTGACATAAGAACATTAGACATAAAATAACATTAATAGGAAGGCTCCCGCAGTGCCACCTGACCAGAAATTAGGTTTTGTTTTTTTTTTTTTTTATAGTTTTTCGTTAGTTTATCATTTTTTTTTTAAGCATTGAGCAGCTCTCTTGGCCATTTTATTTTTAACCTTCTAGGAATGAGTGAGGTAGTGAATAGATTTTTAATTAGTGGATTTTTATGTAATGAGATTTGGCTAAGTCGTTGAGGGTTGGAATATTAAGGTCTTTGTGGAGGTTTTTGTTGGTTACATACCAAGGGGCAGATGTTATTAGGCGTAGGCATATGGATTGGAATGATGCTTGCAAGGTTTTAGTGTTGAGAATATTAGTTATTACATTAATACATGGAAAATATAAAGATGCCAATTTCGGAGCGTAGAAAGTAAAATCTTTTTTGTAATAATTATATTAGTCTGCTGAATTTTTTTGGCCTACCTACCTAATTAGTATAGTTGTTAGCATACTTTTCAAAAAGTATTGAAATTACGCCCCTGAATTAAACAATTATAGTACACAATTGAATTAATTTTTATTTTATGTTTGCTTGTAACGCGCTAACATTATGAACACTATTTTCTAAATTTAAAAAAAAAGGCCTATGGGGGGATCTTACCCCCACGTCCACCCTTGTATACGCCACTGGGTCAGAACAATAATGCCATATATTGAAATTTGACGTTTTTGCATCTTAAAACAATCAAACATTCGGAGCTATAACGCCGCATATAGATTATTGAGATAATAATATACGCCATAAATCATAACAATAATAATATTGAAATATTATTATTTATTATCATTAATTTATTACACTAATTTTTACTCTAGTCATACTATATTACTCTAATTTATAGTATTTAAATTGTGTATACTTTTGTATTATTATAATAACTATAATGATTTATCGTGGTAGAGTTAAAAAACTTTAAAGTTTGTGTGATACAAAACTATCTATTGAAAACCCTAAAATACCTAACATAAAGGAAAACCGAATAAATACCTACTTAATAGTTCATTATACATAGTATTTACCTAACAAAAGTATTAATATTAGGTAATATGTATTATTGAATTATCATCATAATAAATAATAATTTTACAAAATATATACCTACATTATTAAAATATTGTTTAATAGACTACTATGACTTCTACTATCTATGATGATCAATACTCAACCACAGTAGAAAATATTGATAAATTGGGGGGAAATGATTTATTTTGAAAAACAATAAAACTAAGAGACAGAATAAATATTATTTATTTTCTATTTTAATACAAAAAGTGATATTATTATTATAGTTTTAAAATTATAATATTATTTTGTAATAATAATAACTTAAGGGGGCTGCAGCAGATGAAAAAAAATTGACTTTTAGACCAATAAGCTAGACAAAACTGGAAGAATTTGGTTTGAAAGATTTTAATTTTGAAAACGGATTATGATTGATCAACAATTTTATTAGGGAATGAGTAATTTTTTCAGCTGTGTTGTACAAGAATAAAAATATCGAAAAAATATGATATTTTTGTATTTATATTATTCATTATGACACTAACAAAAATTGGAATATTCAAAATCGCCTCGATCGAAACCTAGTAAACTTATTAATCAATCATAATCCGTTTTCAAAATTAAAATTTGTCAAACTAAATTCTTCCAGTTATGTCTAGCTTATTATTGGTCTAAAAGTCACTTGGTTTTCATTGACTGGAGCCCCTCCAGCCCCCTTAAGGTTTACCTATTTTATGATACGGAATTTAAATATATTGAAATAATTATAACAAACAAAATTAATGTTTTGATTGGTCAAATCTACATTAGTTTTGACTTTTGACAAAACCTGCTGCAGCCCCCTTAATATAAAAATAGTTATAATTCAATGTTAATGTTGTTAAAAATAAGGAAACTATAAGAAATAGAAAAGATGGTTATTTATTTTTTTATTTTAATACAAAAAGTGATATTATAATTTAATACACAAATTTTTATAATGTAATGTCAATATTGTTAAAAATAAGGAAACATTCAAAAGACTGAATTTCTTCATTTTATAAACAAAATATTATATTATGCTATTGCCTCTATTAGGTATTTTATTTTGCGGTAGGTATAAGCGTTTTTTAGATTAACATCAGTGTATTTAATAATATTATTACCTAATACCTATATTAACTAAATCATAATTTGTAATACTTCATACATTTTGTTTACAGCCAAAATAATATTAAAATCAATTAAAAAGGTAGTGCAATATAAAGCTATAACTAAAAAAATTTCAATTTTTGTTCTTTCAAGTTGAAATCACACAAAGCTACAAAAGTGAAGATATTTACATGGATAAAAATCACTTGAATATAATCACAACAAAATTATAAATATGTATCCTAAACATTATTTTGTTGTTTAATGAAAAATTTTATTTTATTCTAAACTTTCACATTGATTTCCTGAACACATTTTCCTTTTTTTGAGTTACGGCTTACTGTACTATTATATTCATAACATTGCGATATTATTATGTTCAATGCTTTCAAAACCATCGTGTGCTTCTCTCTTGTGGATAAAATATGAACCAGAGCAATACGTCGTTTTATTTTTAGGAGACACTGTAAAATCAATGGCCTAATCATGAATATTATCTCGACCACGTTATCAATTATTATTATGAAAATGAAAAATTACTGTTTTCATTTTTCATTGAACAATAAAAATCTTAAATAAATAATTTCTTTATTTGCCTGAATCGATTTTGGTTCAGTATTTCATAGTTCGGACTACATAGTTTCGTAGCCTCAATATACGCACACAATATCCAACATGTACTGTCTTCAATGGTTGATACCAGTGTTACTAATACCAAAACCACTGAATCCTGCACTATTGCAGACGCATGTCATGTTCATGGTTCTATACTTGACTGGATTCTTTTTGGAACGGAAGCCGTGCACCATATGCAGCATAGTATTCTTAGTAGCTGTGTTCCTGATATGTTACAGCGGGTATGGCAATTGTATATTCTTCAGCAGCAACTGTGATTCTGTACAGTGTGATAACGGTTAAGGAGAAGACGTCAGGAGCCGCGCATATACCATACCCAAACGGATACACCACTCTAGTGTTTAGGAATATTTATTTCATTTTTTGTTTATTTTTTATTTTTATGAAATCTATTACCTACTTAAGTTGACCAAAATTAAGTTTATGTAAAAAAAAAATGTACAACTCAAATCTCTTGCCACATTTTATTTATGTAGCTTGTAATAAGTGGATTTTGGCACTTTTTACTATTTGGTTTATTGAAATATAGACTTGTATATACAATTTTTTATATTTTTTTAAATATGTTTTTATTTTAAAGTACCTATCTGACATACTGAATCAACAGTTAATAAGCTCAATAAATAACTAATACTTGATCATCGTTTTTCAAACGATAAACTGAGAATTATGTAGGTTGTTCAAAGAACAGATTTACCATAAACGTTTATTATTGGGTTAACACGTCTAGTATAAACTAGGTATGAAGGTAGGTACTTATTTATAAATATTATTATTTTTTTTTAAAACTAAATTTTTATATTTTAGTTGGGTAAAATTAAATACCCAAAGGAATAGATTAAAAATAAACTAGTAAAAATTTAATATGTAATATGGAACAGATGCATAAATAAATAAATACCAAAATATACCTATTATTTCTAATTTATATATATTTATTAAAATTAAAAAAATAATAAATAATCAATTTAATTTTTGTTAAATGACTTTTGCAAGATTTTAAGCATTACCTAATATATTTAAGTCATTACTACTTCTTAGGCTCTAATCATAGTACCTATGCATTGGATACGCATGCGTTATGCCACTCATGTTTTCAAGTACCTACTTGTGTTTTTTTTTATTATTATTCATACTGTCGCTCTTTAGTTTTCACACTGCTAAAATATTTTAGGTAAATAAAAAAAATGAAAATACATAATATTATAAACTAATGTGAATATGTGATAATGGTTTATAAATTAGAAGGTATATAGATATAGATATTATTGAGAACACTTTCTACATTGTATCTAAAATCTTTTAACAGGACAATTTTACAAAATCAACTATTGTACCTATTCACTATTGATGAATGATAATAATTGATAAATATTCACTAATAATAATAAGTAATTTCATCAAAGGTATGTCATTAAACACATAGAAAAATCAATCGCCAAGACAATTAGTATATATTTTGTCTTTCTTTATATGTTTGAACACCCACATAAAAAATATTTTACAAAACTTCAAGAAGTCTATACCCATAATCAATATAATATTATATTATATTGGGTAGGTTTATTCAAAATTAAGAAAAAAAAAAAAATTTGTGCCTACCTAATATTTGTTAATGAAGCTCATGAAATGAGTGTCAAGAAAATTAAAATTAATAAAAATATATTTTTCTAATGAAAAATCTGACTGTGTCACTGTGAAATTATATTTTCTAATAAGGATAAAACATTAAATATGTATTTCTTATGTATGGTAAAAGGTTATAAATGATTTACCTGTACATATTTCATTATAGTATAATAATGATTATACAAAATAAATGATATGTAGGTATAGACTATAAAGGTGAAAATGTAAATAAGTAATGTACTAATGTCTACATGCTTAGGTAAAGCATTGATGGCTATGGGATTTTCAATTATTCCTTGTTAATATAAGTGTGGTGGTGTAGTATGTACGTAAGTATATATTGCGAAGGTATACAAATATGAATTAATTTATTATTTAGTAATTCATTTTAAATCGATAATAAAAATGCATTGTCTATGAACTGTGCGGCGTTCAAACTTTAAAGTAGGTACCAAAACACAATCAACACCAGGGTAACTTTTTTAATTTCTAAACCCATTCTAATATTCTATACATAAATAATTATTTGTACGTATCTACCTAGAAATGTTTATAATTTTAAACCTTCGTGGCTTCGTTCACTAATTATTTAAAAAGTATCATTTTAATTCGTGGTTACTGGTTAGATTTAGTTTCAGTATGTATCTAATGGTGAAAGGGCGATTTTAGGAGAAGAAATTAAGGGAAAAAATGATATTAAAAAAATAAATATTTATTGTATAGGTACAACTGGCTACCTATATTATTATTAATTATGAATTTAGCATTAACATAAGTCGGAACTATTATTATAAAATGATAGTTCGCAAAATGTTATATCGTTACCATAAAATACCTATATTAGATTATTGTCTAGGATCGTTATTTGTATATAAATCTATAGCCTAAATTTTGTATTTTCGACTTTCAGTTGTGTCAAATGTTTTGACATAGGAAGGTACCTAATAAAAACATCATCATACCTATTTCTAAATCAAATTCGATTATTTCATGAGTAAGCTGGATATAGTCGCTGCTCAAAGTCATCAATGTGTAATAATATTGTATCCGGAAAAAAATGACGTTCAGCAAAATTTCTTGTATTGAATACTACCTAAACATTTTTTTGTTTCCTACTGTTTTCCTTTTGTAATCTACTCTTTGTTTTTATTTCGAGTAGGTACCTACCTAAACAATAAACAGTGGACTCACACATGCGTCTATTTATTTACTCTTATGAGTATAATTATAATTTATAAGTATAGATATAACTTAAACACTATTCAGAAATGAAACTACGGTACCTAGGGATATACCTAGCAATGTGCCGATACGCCAAATTGAGATGTATCTAGTATTATAATTATAACTGAATAATCGTATAATAATAGTTATGACTTATGAATTGATGATAAATGATAATGGTAAATGTATAGGTATTTAATAATAATTTTTATAATAAATAATTTTATTTTTAAATAATTGTTATCCCTAACTTTTTTACCATTTACCCCAATGGACAATAGATTATAGTCTATAGAGTATTATTGAGAATGGAAGTAAAGCCGTAAAAACTATTGTCTATTTGTATGTTGTTGAATATGAAATAGGAATGCTCTAGAGTCTAGACTAACAAAAACAAAACCTGACTAGAAACCAACAATATGTACCTACCTATAATCTATTATGATGTAGGTACCACTACGGCCCTATCTATACCGATTCCTCTTTAGAATGAGCTAGAAAGTGTTCTATTCACTAGGTACCAATTACCATGATTTTTTTATTCTATATTCATATTAAGTATTCTTTTATATCCAACCATCTCCCGTAGCATAAATACCTAATATATATGAATTTAATGTATATTGCTGCGTCAGCTTATGTAATGACCTCTGGCTGCCCTACCTAGAAATTTGTTCGGACATCACAGTCCTAAACTAACATGACCTATAACATTGGTATGATCTTTTTTACATTTTATAACACGACAATCCCTGGAATAATGAGAGAGTATTACTGGTAGGTTGCAGTCCACTTTTTGTATTAATTATTTAGTAACCCTTAAACCTTAAACCCGCCACTGAAGAGTCCTCCCAGCGGAGATACTTCATTTGAACTAAAGGTTAAAAATATGAAGAAAACCATCATTACTAATATCATAATTATTTTAGTTTTGTTACCTATAGGCTTTAAGGTACGGTACCTATTGTATTTGTATAATTAAATAATTTGTATATCTATAAAGGTACTTAGTATTTGTTTATTATTGCATTTATTGTGATAAGTTATTCTGTTATTCGTACTGAACTTATTAGGTAGGTACCTAGCCAAGGTAGGTCGTATGATCCGTATAGGTACTTCATATTTTTATTTTAATGAAAAAAACTTTGTCCATACATTTTTTTTGTGTTATCACCTAGGGATATACCTAGCAATGTGCCGATACGCCAAATTGAGATGTATCTAGTATTATAATTATAACTGAATAATCGTATAATAATAGTTATGACTTATGAATTGATGATAAATGATAATGGTAAATGTATAGGTATTTAATAATAATTTTTATAATAAATAATTTTATTTTTAAATAATTGTTATCCCTAACTTTTTTACCATTTACCCCAATGGACAATAGATTATAGTCTATAGAGTATTATTGAGAATGGAAGTAAAGCCGTAAAAACTATTGTCTATTTGTATGTTGTTGAATATGAAATAGGAATGCTCTAGAGTCTAGACTAACAAAAACAAAACCTGACTAGAAACCAACAATATGTACCTACCTATAATCTATTATGATGTAGGTACCACTACGGCCCTATCTATACCGATTCCTCTTTAGAATGAGCTAGAAAGTGTTCTATTCACTAGGTACCAATTACCATGATTTTTTTATTCTATATTCATATTAAGTATTCTTTTATATCCAACCATCTCCCGTAGCATAAATACCTAATATATATGAATTTAATGTATATTGCTGCGTCAGCTTATGTAATGACCTCTGGCTGCCCTACCTAGAAATTTGTTCGGACATCACAGTCCTAAACTAACATGACCTATAACATTGGTATGATCTTTTTTACATTTTATAACACGACAATCCCTGGAATAATGAGAGAGTATTACTGGTAGGTTGCAGTCCACTTTTTGTATTAATTATTTAGTAACCCTTAAACCTTAAACCCGCCACTGAAGAGTCCTCCCAGCGGAGATACTTCATTTGAACTAAAGGTTAAAAATATGAAGAAAACCATCATTACTAATATCATAATTATTTTAGTTTTGTTACCTATAGGCTTTAAGGTACGGTACCTATTGTATTTGTATAATTAAATAATTTGTATATCTATAAAGGTACTTAGTATTTGTTTATTATTGCATTTATTGTGATAAGTTATTCTGTTATTCGTACTGAACTTATTAGGTAGGTACCTAGCCAAGGTAGGTCGTATGATCCGTATAGGTACTTCATATTTTTATTTTAATGAAAAAAACTTTGTCCATACATTTTTTTTGTGTTATCACCTATACCTAGGTACGTGGCTTTGTAGTTAGATATGTACCTACCTGTATTAGATACTGAGATAGTGAGATTAGCTATTGTGAGCCATATAAGCATAGGTATATAAAATAATACCGTGCACCTACACGGCTACACATCAAAT